TCATACCTAATGATAGTCTCAAATAATTTTTTTTAATTTTAATTTTTCTTATTTATATTTTATCTTTTTTTTTCTTTTCATGGTGCCACTAACAGCTGAATCAAATAATTTTTGATTTGCTCCTAAGGTTATATTCACACTTCAAATGGACTATTATTGCAACTGGTTAACATTAGAGTTGTATTAAAAATTAATTTGTATGATTGAAAGTCCAGAGTAAAAGAAAGCAAACTTTTAAAATTATATAAAGAAAACTTAGAAACAACTTATAGATATTTTCACCCATTCTTTCTAATTAGAAATTGACAACATGTATTCTTTTCCTAATTTTTTTCCTCAAACTGGTTAAGATTTTACCATATTATACATGTGGCATTATATTTTTGCATATCATTCTAAAGAATATTGTTTGGGATTTCCAGTTTAAATCATGCTGCTTATTTGTGAACAAAATAGAGATCTCATAGCCTTCTCAGAATATTAGCCTGATGACAAAATCTGAAGGTCGGGCTTGATAACGTGTATGTGTTTAATTAAGTGAAAACAAAAGTACTGGAAAATTCAATCAGTTTCATTACAATTAATAGTAAATTTTAATATCCATTTTCTGTTTACAACTTTTTACAAAAAGCTAGAACAAAGTGACTAGGAGTCTTTCTAGGTTCCTGATATTTCACCTTCCTTTTGTAAAAGAGAACACCCAATATGTTAGCAATAGGTACTAAAACAGGAGAAAGCTGTGGAGAAGAGAATAGCAGTGAACTGCCAAGGTCAAAAGTCTTGGTAAACTTGCTCTGAGTGTGCCTGTCACCCCATCTTCTGGCTACACAAGACTGTGGAGGGAAATATAAGAAACTACCTACCTCACACCCTTAAGAGTAAAAAAAGGCTCCTTTTAACATTCTTAGAGACAGCAACATATTACTGTTCACAGATGGGAGGTACCCTTGAGTACAGTTGACACAGGTGACTGCATTTGGCTTGCTAAGTTAAATCCCAGCTCCAACACTTAACTAGTTAATTTGATCATGTACGTAGCATGTAAACTTGTTTAGGCTCAATTTATGTACTTCTAAAATGAAGATAAAAAGAACCTCAGTGTAAATGTTGTAAGGATTAAAACAAGATAACATGGCACAAGTAAATTAACAATGCATCTTGGTTGTTATTATGACAAAGACCTGAAGTTTTCAGAGTTTTTGTGCAGCATGACTTCATTCGATTTTCTCAGAAATTCTCCTAAGTGGGACTGGGTTTATATTAGCCTTGTTAAAAATGAGAAAAAAAGATTTTTATACATTAATACAAACCAACCTATACCTAGGCCAAAACAAGGCAATATTACAATGCATATGCAACTATCTGTTTCCACTGAATACCCAACAGTGAATATTGTAGATGTATTTGGGAACATTAGATTTCCTCCATATATATTAAATTTAAAGTTTACATATTCCCAAGCGTGTTGTCAACTGTTGCTGTAAGATTTGTTATTTGATAGGGTCTCTGGCAATGCATTTTGTACCTTTACCATTTTTTGTACTATCGCCCGCAGTATCCAGTCAGGGATGACCTGATTGAGTGGTGAATACAAGGAGAATTAAAATTTAAGCAATACAGTGAGAGACATGATTCAAAGTCCCATCACTTCACAGCAATCCTAACGTATCAGTTAATACATGCATCATGCAAAACAATTCACTTACACATTGAAGATCTTTTAGAATCTAGGTACATGGTCATCTTATTATTGACTTCCATTATTTCACTTGGTTGCAGTTTAGGGCAACTAGTATTCATTCTTGTGTTTGCACCTACAACCATACTTTTAGTAGGTTTTAATTCCTATAATTGTGATTCTGTCAGACAGTGTTCTTTTAGTTTGGGCATTGTTGCTGGAAATATCAGCTTTCTGAAGGCAAAGAGCACTTAGAACCACCAAGGACAGTAACTTTAATGTTCAAATATCAGCAGTACTTTGTTTTTGAAAAGAGTATTCGTAGAAAATCCATGGGGATTGAACATCAAGTAAGCATTCCCTCAGACAGTATCAAAGGTTTTATGTCATAACAACTGATAAAATGTTCCAAGCAAATAACCAACAAAATAGGAAATCTGATTTCCTATTTTGGAAAGCTCATTTCCTAAATTGCAAAGTTCATTTAAGAAATTGATAAAAACTAATTAATAATATACAAGAGTCTTCAGGGTTTAAGAGGAGTCAAATAAATGGCTATTAAATGTGGTATATTATAACATGAAACATAGGTATTAATTGGGAATACTATTAAGAGATTAAATCTTACTATTGCTATGACTATAGTACTACACAAAGACAGTTAAACTACAGAATTACTCAAAGTCTAAAGGGCAGCTAGATTTCCAATCTTATACAATTTATGAAAGAGTGTTTATAATTCAATTAAGTTTTGTTCTTTATTGAGTTTTCAGAAAGTTAATGAACACATATAACAGCTCTATTAATTTCTTTAAAGTTCATTTTCTCTGCTTGAAAAAAGTTTATAACTTATATGAGGTAATATATCTAGAAACATCATTAAGTGATTAAAAGAATCACAATATGAAATGTTTTAACGTACATTTAAATTAGGCCTGTTACCTACTGGGATGAAATTAAATTTTATAGAATTCTCAAGTTGTATCACATTCTTTGGCTATGCTAGGATACCTCTAGATATGCACTGATTTATTTCATAGTAATGAAGGCAAAGCATTGAAGACATTTAAATTCCTTTACAAAAATATGTTAGTTTCATTTCTTTTTTTCTCTTTCTATTAGGAATGTGTCCACTAAATGAAAGATAAAGGTTGATTTCCTCTTGTTTCTTCAAGATTCATTTAACTTCTTCATTTTGATTTGTGTCCTTTATCAGAATCCATCACATCTCTTGTTCTGCAGTGAAATAATGAAGATGGAGCATACCCCATCCTTACAGAGACTCTCCAGGAGTATTTTTCCTTCTTTTGCTTAGTTGTGCTAACTCACACTAGCATTAATTTAACAAATAAATGGAAGGATAAACCAATTTTCAAGATTCTGAAAAGTGTCACTTCTCTGCTGACTATGAAAAAATAGTTGGCTTAATTTCTGGATGTAAAAAGTTATGCTTTGTCTTTTCTTGGAGATCTCTCATCTGCCAAACTAAATTTTTATTTATGTACTTATTCTTACATAGTTCCCTGGGGAGGAAAATTAATGCCTATTTTTATTAGTGGGGTACTTCTTTTTCTTTTTAAATCAAGAAGGTACATTTTTTTTCTTTCCAGAAGCTTTTAATACCAAGTACAAAGAGATGATATTGTCTTATAAATCACAATAAATGTAAAAAGGAATATTTTTGACATTGATTCATATGTCTCATGTTACTATGGAGTGAAGAGTTAAAGAATAGGGACAATCAGAATTACTGTAGTGGCTGTGATCACACTTACTGTATAATGTAGTCAGTGTGCATTCATAAAGATACATTAGCTAGGATTGCTGAAGATGAAAAATTTGTTTTCCTCTTAATAAATTGTATGCATGCAGTTTTCAAGGTAGAAACATTTATCAGACTATTTGAAATGCAATTCTCCTTCTAAATGAGTATTCATTAAGAATAGTTCGTAACCACTATTATATTCTATGACCCACTTTTTCAAATATGACTTTAGGTAATTACAGAGTAAAAATTAAATATTTGTGATAATCTACTTTAACTTTAGACATAAATTTTCATGTTTAACTGGAATGCTATAAGATTATGAATATATCTAATTTCACCACATTTATCTAAGGGTGATATAGTTCAATATTTATTTCAAAGATATAAATATTGAATTACATATATATTTAGTATAAATTTACAATTATACTAAAATAGTCAATGGAATGTTTGTGTATAGGTCAGTATCATAGCTGCAAGTAAACAATGGTAAGTTAGCAAAATTAAGATTTACTATGTACAGAACTTTTGGCTCAAATGAAAAGATCACCTCATGAGCACTTTCACTCATTAGTTTTCCATATAAGGCAGGGTTCCTTAGATGAAGATTTTCAAACTGTCATTTGGACCAATCAGAATCCAGTGAATGAAGAGACGGTGCACATTGATGGGTCATATCACTGAGTGGTAACAGGCACACTCATTCCGTCATTTTTCCGAAAGTGGATAATCTTTTGGCAGATGAGAACTTTGATCACAGCAAAGTGTTGACACAAAAATCAATCACATTCTCCTTAGTTCAAGATCAGTATGCAAAAGCTCAAAGACATAAGCTAAAAGCCATATAAACAGCAAGTTTTACAATTTTTTTTTGGTTAGTTTCATTTAGAAGCAACTCACAAATTCTGGATTAAATACTGTGTATAAATAAACAAGATGACAGTTATAGTCACTGAAACACTTGAGTGAGTAATTTTCTGCACTGAGATCTCATTTAATGTTGTATCAAATTTTATTAAGCAAAGCTGAAAGGGGAATTAACTTGAATTGCAAAAAAATCTTCTTTTTCAGATGAAATAAGGCAGCTGTCAAATACATTCAGGACAACTGGGCCATCAGCTGTTTTTAAACTTCTGGAAACAAGTAGCAGCTAAAACTTTCCTTTTGATGTAATTGTAAGGTAAGAGATTCAGTTTTCACAGAGATTTTATTAAAATAAACACAAAACACTGGTTAAAATATTTGTAAATGCAATACTTTTATAGATATACACTTTCCTCCTAAATTGCACTTTGACAATTTAGGGGAAAATGGAAATTAGAGAATAAAAAATAGAACAGGTACAGGCTCCACATATGATACTATATTCTAATAATTTCCAAAATTATATTCTAGAGTTTATTCTTTTTAAGTAGGATTCTCTCCTTCTAAAATATACTAGTTCCCTGGGTAATGCCATTCCTCTCAATGAAAAATATTCCTGTCTGCAAGTTCCTAGAGTTCCTTGCTGTTGTAAGATGTTTCAGTGACCAAACAATTCACTCATTTCGTTACCTTAATGGAAGAGAGGTCAATTTTTTCCTCTTTGGGTTTGGCTGGGGCAGGTGCAGGTGCCGGTGCTGGGGCAGGGGCAGCAGCAGGTTTCTTCACATCCTTCTTTGGTGCCATTTTGTGTAAAGAGATGGGTTAAAAAAAAAGAAGAAGCTCCTCCAAAAGAACCTGTCAAAATGGGTCTTGGTTTGGTTGATCCACAGCCCAGTGTCTTGAAGGTGGACCTGGAGTGTTAAACGGTATAAGGGCATGCATATATATTTCACTTAGTGCCTAATAGAATCTTGACACATGCGGCTGGATTGGACAGTTTGCTAGTCAAGGGGGATGGCATTTCAGCACAGACTATAAATGGAATCTAAAGGGTCAGGGCTTCATCAATTTTTTTAAACTCCCTTTGCTTTTTTTTTTTTTTCACCTCCATATATAAAGGAGAAAGAAGTATGACAAAGCCAGCTTCAGATCCTTTGGTGACAGTAGGTAGATTGACTGTACTTTTTCTTGGTAGAATTACAGTTCTGCTGAAGTTGTAAATCTTTTTTTTCCCCCATGCCTAAGAAACTTTACTGAAGGATTTGATTTCAACCTGGAATTTTGGCAGGGGATATTACCAACTTTCACCCAGCCCCGTTGCTCATGCTCCTCCCTCCATGCCGTAATTTGCAAGAAAATGTTGGTCAGCAAAGAGGTGGTGGTGTTTAAAAATAAAAAGCAGACGTATAAGGAAAGCCCATCAAGTCTTAAAGTGGTTTCCCTTCTAGGGAGCACAAACTGGTGTGCTCTCTCTCCCTCTCTCTTTTAATTCTAGTGAACTCTATGCTAAAGAGAAATAATTCAAAACTACATCCTGTAATTTAATTTTCTTTGTATAATTTAATGAAGGATAGCCAATGGGACGGAAATGACAGCAAGATTTACCTTCTTGCAAAACAACTTTTCTAATAGTAAAGTAGCTTTCAATGAAAGTAGATACTTACACATATTACTTTCTAAATGGCTAAAATCTAATTATTTATTTATCACTTAAATCTTTTATTCATACTAGGGAAATAAAATAAATGTTTAAAGAGATAAAGAGAGAAAACTACTTTAATTATCAATACTGTGCAAGTTTTGGTAAGTAACATGAAAGTTTTTCCTTTTCTGTCCTTGGCTTTCTCAGTTTGCAAGGCTAGACTCATATTAAATATAAGATAACCAGTGGACACTTTATAACTTTGTAAGTGGCAAATTCTGCTCAGAGAGGGTGTTGCAATTAGTAATCAGTTATTGCTAAGTACTACCCTCACTTCTGTTGTTTTAACTTGTGAGATATTTAGTTAATGAATAGTTATTAGTAAAAAAAAAATTCCAGTAGTTTGGGATATTAAAAAAGCACATTTATATATTATGTATATAAAAGTATATACATACACATACACACTTTATGTGTGTATGTGTATATATATGCACACATACACGCATATACATATATATGAATATATATGTGTAAATATAAATTATATATGCTAACTATTAAGGATAGTTATATTTAAAGATACAGATTTATTAGCCACTTCCGTTTGGTCTGATGTAAAAGCCACTGCTCAACTTGGAGAAAGTCACTGTTCCTCTCTGTATATTACAACTAAGAGAGATTAAGACTCTCATATCAGCAATAATTCACCTATGTCACAATACGCCCACAGTTAGTTTCTTATTTCATGTAGTGGCCTGAACTACTGAATTATTTTATCCACATATATTCGGGAAAAACTTTTTGATTAGCTCCTGCCCATGTTGCCTGATACCAAGGAATCAATCATTACCTAAACTTAACTGCTGATATCCATCTCTTATATATAAGAAAGCCATGAGATTTTAAACATATTTCATATTTAAATAATTAGAGTTCAAAATAACAGTATGTTTATAATAGAAACACTTATTTTTATAAATAGCAGAAATTTGTCTGCAAGTTTGTTTTCCTTTGGATTATCAAAGGATAGATTGGGGTTTTCTGCAGTAACTGAGAGATGAGTATGATCTTGGTTTCACTTACATCCTGTATTAATATTTTGCTGCACATGCAGAAATCCTCAAATCTATGATAAGGTTAACAGGTAAAGGAGCTTTAAGTGTCCTGAGCAAAAATATTTTGGTCTTTCTTGCATTTAGAAAAACATTAAAACAACATAAAATATATTAATCTATACATTTCACTAATCCACTCACCTGAAATATGTTTTACACTAGCAATGTTATAAAAAATTAATCATTTTGATCTTAAAAACTCAAATACTCCAAATTTGAAATAGGAATAATTTATTTCACATTAAGATAGGGAATAGATTGATCTCACTGTATGTCTAAATTTCTTTGTGTTGCCAACTATATATCACACAGATTTATGAATTCACAGAGGAAGATATGTTGGTGTGGAATTTTCTTCTTGAAAAGTAGAAATCACAGAGGTAAAGTGCCATTCTTATTGTGTCAAGGACACCTGCTCTCAACACAGCATTACTGGTGCTGTTGACCATCACCATGGGGCTGAGATTGTGTTTGATACCCAACATCCATGTATCAGTCTAATCAGAAGAAAACCACCAGTCAAATCCGAACTGAGGAACATTTTACAAAATTTCTGACAAGAACTTCTTCAAATTGTCAAAGTTATCAAAAATAAGGAAAATCTAGGAAACTGTTATAGCCTTGAGGAGTTGAAAGAAATGTGATGAGTGGATGTAAGGTAGTGTCCTGGATGGGATCCTGGAATAGAAAGGGGACATAAAGGTAAAAACTAAGGAAATCTGAATAAAATATGGACTTTAGCTAATAACAATGGATCGATATTAGTTCATGAGTTCTGAAGAACGTACCATACTAATGCAAGATGTTAACAATAGAGAAAACTTGGTGTGGGGTAGTTGGGAACTCTTTGAACTCTCTTCTCAACTTTTTTGTAAATCTAAAAGTATTCTAAAATATTAAATAAAGGTTATTTGTAAAAATAAAAACTAAGAACTAAAAATAAATAGAAATAATTCAGTCTGAAACTTCAAAAAGAGATGTAAGATTTCATTTTTGTGTTTTTGGTCAGGTATATGATAGAAAGTCTCAAATATTTACAATTTATAGCATGGAGGCCTTTTTGAAATGGCTAGTTATATTGGATACAATGTATACATATGTCGCTTAGTAAGGCACTATTAGTTACATGAAGAAATTACATGTGGAGAAAGAATGTAGAGGTGTTCTAAAACTATGATCCTGAGTAATTCAATATGATAGTTAGAGATAAAACAAAATTTCTCCCTTCACCCCTCCTCCCTCCTTTTTATAGTGCTATGTGACAGGTCTTACTTGTAAGGAGAAAAAAGGGCAACAGCTGAGGATTCATGTTCTTGGTGACAGCTGACATGCTCTGTGCCCAGATCTTTCAAGTGTTCCTCATGCTTAATTGTACCATTTGCTGTATAATATTTTTTAGGCGTGTACCAAAGCACAAGGAATGGCAGAGAAGGGACAAATTCATTACTGAAGGTACCCCATTATATTCTATCTTCTAAGCCCATTGTATTTCTTTTACCACATGTTGAAGCTTTGCCACACATCAATCTGTTTCTTATATGATGGTATAGGTGTTTAGGTTCTTTTTGGATGAGATAAAATAATTGTCTTCCATTTGGAAATATTGGGCCTGAAAAATGAAAGCAAGCAGTATTTTCCTTTCATTTCACTGATTAGGATTTACCCATTCCACACGTATTAATCGCTTATTATAGGCTAGACGTTAGGATTACTGGTTGAACAACATGATTTGACTCCTGTTCTTTTGTAGAACTGAGATGAGTATTTGAAAGAGGATATAAATGGGGATACGACAACATGGGAATTGGAAATACCGACTTGTAAACATCAGCTAGGCCTCCCTAAGGAAGGGAAATTTGGGTTGAGAACCAAAGGAAGAGAGGAATACCTTTATAGGTAAAGGGGAAGGAGAAGAGAATTCCAGGCAAAAGAAGCAGCGGTGCACAAGGCACCTTATAGTATTAAGAAAAATTAAAGCAAATTAGAAAAAAAAATTTTAAAGGAAGTAAAATTACAAAGTAGATCAAAAGTGACTACATCAATTATCCTCCTGCCACCCAAAAAAGATCTCTCTCTTTCTCTATACATACTTTTAAAACTCATCTTCTACACCTGCAAAGTCAAGTTAAGAATCACATCTATCCAGCAGATTGGAATAGCAAGTAGATGACAGCAACCTTTAGGACGTGAGAGTGCAAAGTGCATAATGGATTTTATCTGTTTTTATAATGCCCTCGTGAGGAAGGAGGAGTCAGAAAATGTTATTGCTGTTTTGTAGTGAAAACGTCAACGAAGAACATTGACCAGAAATTCAATGTGTATTTCTTGCCTCCTAGCAATCATTTTGCCCAAGTAATTGAAATTTTTGTGTGTTTCTTGCAAGAGTAATTCCTCAAAAGCATAGACACTTCTTCTGTATTTTCCCCAATATTGAAACAATTAAAGGTGTTTAGTATAATTTCGCTGAATTAAGACTGAATCTGTTGTCATAAATCCTTTATACATTCCTGAAGAAAAGAGGCTGTTGGTTAATTAAGTACTTAACACAATAATTGTGAAATTCTGCAATCCTTGGCATGAAATGTCCTTTTCATTTGTTAGTTACTTTTATTGGTATAATGAGGTGATATATTACATTTAAAAGCTTATATCAATTCCCTTTGACATATCTCTTTAGGCAAAAAGAATTAACTTGGGTGTGTGAATTAACATGTGTGTGTATGTTCATGTGCATGTAAACACCAAGATGTTAATAATAGTTATTTCTGAGTGGAAGAATTATGACCTAATTTTTGTTTTCCTTATCTATATTTTCTACTTTTCTTCTCTGATTGTGGTTTCTTATATTATAAATAATAAAATAAATAAGTTAAAAAGCCCACAATAAAAAGTAGGTATAATTACAACCTTATGTAAAAGCCAACTTGTTATACTTGTTATCAGATGTTTGAGTTCATGTGTGTAAGATAATTACTTGAAAACTTTCCAATGGCAAGAACTTGAAGTGGCTTTCACATCATTTCATGACACAACACTTCCTCCTCTAGATTTTAGTCCTTAATTGACACATCCACTATACTCAATAATTTGCTTTTCAAAGCTCTTCTGCCAACTAAAGTTTATTTCCTCTCCTGAGCTGTCTATAAATCACAATCCACATTTGGTGGATGAGATCTATA